AATATGTATAAATGGATTCCATGAAGGACACAGATGCTAAACAGTATGGTTCAAGCATAGACCTCTATGGTAACACCACACTGCACAATCACTTGCTTTTTTTTCTTAAAAAAAAAAAAAAAAAAAAAGGCATCACTAACATGCAGATGATAAAGTTTTACAAATGGATGTACTACTCATTTGACCCATACTATTTGGGACAGAAAATATACACTCTATGATTTCATAAAACATGGTCAGGCTTGCCCTGTGGCTAATTTTTGTTCATGGTCCACGACTACTTAAAAGGGGTATGTTGTCAGGTATGGTAGCACATACCTATAATTCTAGCAATGGGGAGGCTGAAACAGGAGGATAATATCAAGGCTAGCCTGGGATACCTACAGAATTCCTATTTCAAGAGGGATGGTTAATCTTGATGTTAACTTGACTTAAAATCATATGGGAGACATACCTCTAGGTACATCTGTGAGGTATGTCTTAATTGAGGTCCCTAAATGTGGACCCCTGGGCTGGGATCCAGGAGTGAACAAAAGGGAGAAGGCAAGCTGAGTACTAGCATCCATCTTTCTCTGCCTTGCAGAGACAGTGTGAGCAACTGCCACAGTTGGAGCTGTTCTCTCTACCATGCTTTCTCCAGCACAACAGACTGACTCAAACTCCTTCCAGGCTGGAGAAGATGCTCGCAGTGGTTAAGGGCATTGGCTGCTCTTCTAGAGGTCCTGAGTTCAATTCCCGGCAACCACAACCACCTTGAATGAGGTCTGGTGCCCTCTGTTGGTCTACAGAGCACATGCAGGGAGAAGACTATACATAATAAAATCTTAAACAAAACAAAACCTTTCCTTCCTTAGGTTGCTCTTGTCGGGTATTTTGTCACAGCAATAGGAAAAGTCATGCTCTACTTAGCACATTGTAAGTGGATAAACAGACAGGTTCCATACTTCGTATAATAGATGATATATATTTCTATGGATCAAAGGTTGAAAATATGGAAACTACCAAGAACCGTTTATTATCTTAAAGAGGTAAAGACATTCCTATGACTCAATACTAGAAACCATAGAAAAAGCTTATGGTGCAGGTGTGGTGGTGCTCACCTTTAATGCCAGCACTCCGTAAGTAGAGGCAGGAGAATGAGTTTGAGCCTAACTTAGTCTCTATAGTGAAATTTTATCAAAACCCAAAAAGTGTTGCAGTAGTGGCACAAGCCTTTAATCCTGGGAGGCAGATCCTTGAGTTTGAGGCCAGCCTGGTCTACAGAGCGAGTTCCAGGACAACCAGGGCTACACAAAGAAACCCTGTCTCCAAAACGACAACCACCACCACTAACCAACCAACCACCCAAAAAACAAAACAGAAACAAAAATCTGATGAAGTAAATCTAAACAACCAAGCAAAGTCTTGTGCACTGGTAAACTGGTAAACATGTGCATAGATACAAATCAGAAGGACAGCACATGGGAAATTTTCTATTTTGTCGGGGAGGATTTTGAGACAGGGTTTCTCTGTATTGCTTTGGAGCCTGTCCTGGCACTTGCTCTGTAGACCAGGCTGGCCTCAAACTCAGAGATCTGCCTGCTCTGCCTCCACCTCCCAAGTGCCAGGATTAAAGGCATGTGCCACCAATGCCTGGCTGAAAATTTCAACTAAGAGCATTCATAGGAGGGTTAATTAATTTACTACATAAAGAAAAAGACTATAGTTTGTATAAGGTTTGGGTGTCCCCTAATGGGCCATGTGTTGGACTTGGTCACCAGGATAGGTGACAGAAAGGTTCTACAGGTCTTTAACAACTAGGGCAGGGTGTAGTGGTGCCTTTAATCTTAGAACTTGAGATACAGAGGCAGGTGAATCTCTGAGTTTGAGGCCAGACTGGTCTACAGAGCAAATTCAAGGCCAGTCAGGGCTAAATAGTGAAACTGTATTTATTTATTTTTGTTTTGTTTGTTGAGACAGGGATTCTCTATGTAGCCCTGGCTGTCTTAGAACTTGCTCTGTAGACTAGGCTGGCCTCGAACTCAAGAGATCCACCTGACATCACTTCTTCATAATTACTGCCCACACACAAGGATCTGGATTCAAGTTCTCAGAGAACAAGTTAAAAAGCCAGGATTAGTTGTGTACACCTTTAACTTCAGTGCTGTGGTGGGTGGAGAAGGGGATCCTAGGGTTGGCTGGCTACTAGTCTGGCTGTAAGTTCAGTGAGAAACTCTATTTCAATAGAATAGAGTAGAGAGTGACAGAGCAGGACACCTAGTATCCTCCTCTGACTCAACATGTCAGTGAACATGGATACCTGCACGCATGCAAGCTCACACAATGGGGGGAGGAGAGGCTGACAGGAGATCCTTGAGTTACTGGAAACACTCAAAAGAGATTAAGGAATTTCTTGTATGCTTGCTTAGTGGTTTTTGGAGGTTGTCACAGGGGAAGCCTACCTCTATCCAGTCTCTGCATCATGGCTTGAGATGTGACTTTGCTTTGAATACATTTTTGCCATTGCCAACTGCCATGATTCAAGGTAACTCAGAAAGGACCCTGTAAGGAGTACATACCCCTTACGGGACCCAAAAGAATTTAGCTGTTGCCAGGCATTGGTGGTGCATGCCTTTAACCCCAGCACTTGGGAGGCAGAGGCAGCTGTCTCTGAGTTCGAGGCCAGCCTGGTCTACAGAGCCAGTGCCAGGGCAGGTTCCAAAACAAAACAATACAAAGAAACCCTGTCTCGAAAAACAAACAAAACAAAAATTAAGCTGTTATGCTGGAGAGATGGTTCAGCCGTTAAGAAGACTGGCAGTCCTTCCAGAAGTCCTGAGTTCAATTCCCAGCAACCTTGTGGTGGTTCACAAGCATCTGTAGTAGGATCTGATGCCCTCTTTTGGCTTAAAGGTTACAAGCAGATAGGGCACTCATACTCATACATTTTATATATATATATAGTTTTGTTGTTTTGAGACAGGGTTTCTTTGTAGTTTTGGAGGCTGTCCTGGAACTCAAGACCAGGCCAGCCTTGAACTCAGAGATCTGCATGCCTCTGCCTCCAGAGTGCTGGGATTAAAGGTGTGTGTCACCACTGTCACACTTTTTTTTTTAAAGAAAAGATTACCAGGGGCAAAGAATAATTAAACATTTTGTATAATGTCAGAGCACAATGGCTGGAAATTTCTAAAAAATATTTTTACTTTTTTGTTTTGTTTTTCAAGACAGGGTTTTTCTGTCGTTTTGAAGCCTGTCCTGAACTAGCTCTTGTAGACCAGGACTCAAACTCAAAGAGATCCCCCTGCCTCTGCCTCCTGAGTGCTGAGATTTAAGGTGTGCCCCACCACTGCCCAGCTTCACATAATTTATTAAATATAGTTGTTCACACTATAATCTTGTATTTAGAGAGGCTGAAACATTAAGAGTTCAAGGACAGCTTGTGTTATATATAGTGAGTTTTAGAACAGCCTGGGCTAAAGTGAGATCATCCCAAACAACTCCAAAAACTGTATATGTCTTTCACTTTAGCAGTTTAGATTTGTTCCAGAATTGAATAACAAGTTTGCACCTGGCAGCTACCCAGATACTTGTTTCAATTTAGTAGTACAAAGTTTTGTTCTTGGTTATATACTGTGTCCTGTTTATTATGGCTTGCCAACCTTGAAGTCAGAATTGTTTGTGTGTGTGTGTGTGTGTGTGTGTGTGTTTCTTTGTTTGCTTGCTTGCTTTTTAGTAGAACTGCTGTTTTTATTTATTTGTACTTCCCTATCTCACCTAGTATATGCTTGTAGACATGTTGTTATTATTACTGACTTTTTGAGACAAGGTCTGGCTTTGTAGCTCTGGCTGTCCTGGAATTTACTATGTAGATCAGTCTGGCCTTTAACTCAACAGAGCTGTCTACCTGCCTCTGCCTCCCCAGTCCAGGAATAAAGGCAAGTACTACAATGCCCAGTGCAGCAGGCACTCTGCTGATAAGCAATCTCTCCAGCCTGGTTTTTATTTTTGAAATGGGGTCTCATTTAACCCAGGCTATTGTCAGATTTGGTACATTGTCAAGGATAGCCTTAAACTCTAATTCTCCCACCCCTGTCTTTAAGTGCTGGGTTACAGGCAGAGACAGTATGAGTTTGGTTTTATTTCTTTCCCTCTGCCACCACCTCTTCCTCCTATTTTTCCTTCTCGCCCTCTTCCTCTTCTAATTTTGAGACAGGGTCTCATGAAGCCCAGGCTGCCTACAACTCTCTAGGTACCTAAGACTGGCCTTGAACCCCCAATATTCCTGCATCTACCTCTTGGATGCTGAAATTACAGGAATGTGCTCCAGTGTGGGATAGCCTTTTCTATAGGAAGATCCACAGTTTGAAGCCAGCCTCAGCTACATAGCCAGCCCTGGTTTAAGAAAACAAAAGCCAACTCAAACATAAGGCCCAGCAAAAGAACTACTGACAGATGGTACGGTATAAAAGACATATCCACAGTCATCCAGGGAACTGTGGGTTAGCTTTAAAATTTGGGTGTTTTCTGTGTAACCAGGAGGACAGAGTAATCCAGTTTGGGTTACTCTCCTAACCCTCTCCCTACAATTTCCCATAGTGTTTTTCACTTACCAAGCAGCTGGGGTCGGTCGGGTGTGTGTGTGGGGGGGAGGAATTCTGCAGCATTAAGTAAAGGGGAGGGGGAAGAAAAAACAACAACAACAACAACAAAAAAAAGTAAAGGGGAAAAATCGACCAAGCAGATTCCTGAATCTTAGAGTCCAGTGACCTTCCCCATCTCCTTCTTAGAGATAACTATCAAGTGCTGGGCCAGTCAGAAAGGCCCAAGCTGCAAACTATGCTTCCTGCCAATCGGGATGCCCTTACCTGTAGAAGGAGGCTTTGGCTTCCTTTAAGCGACTGTCTCCTGGGCCAACCAGAGGTCTCTAGGAAAGAAGGGCACCAATCGGACTCAAGAAGGAGGAAAGTTCGGGGCTGCACCTGCGTACGGTGAGTCCAGTCGTTGGAGCTTCCATTCCCTTCACCAATCGGAACATGAGACAGCCGGGCGCCGCCCACCGGGCGTGGAGAGAAAGGCGGGCAGAGCTCAACCTGGCGGCTGGAGTCCAGTCCCAGCGCGGTGGATCGCGAAGTTCTTCCCAGTGGCTCGCCCGTCGCGTGGGGATTGTAACTGTAATGGGCACCGAGGGGAAAGCCGGGAGGAAACTGTTGTTTCTCTTCACGTCCATGATCCTTGGTGAGTTCCCAGAGTTTTTGGAGGACTAGGTGGGTCGGGTCAGAGGTTGGACGGAGGCGCACCCCATGCGCCCACGGGAAGGGAGGAGTCCAGAAACCTGCTTGCTCGCTTGCCTCGCCCTAGAAGTCCACTTTTTCGCCCGGGTCTGGTCACTCTCCTTACCCCTCCCCCAACCTGATACTGGCTGGCTCCCCTCCCCCAAGCGGGTGATCTGTGATCCCACCTCCTATACCGTGGCCGGGGATTAAAAATAACTGGGAGGGTCCACGGTTCTGGGTCTTTCCTTCAGGCCGGAGGACCCCTTCCACACCCAACTCTTAAGCTACTCATTCCCCTCCATATGCACCTGGGAAGGGTCGTCCTCCCCCTCCGATATCTCGGAGTACTCAGAGCCTCTCACCCGGACTCTCTTGGCTCAAGTGTCCTAGAAGGAAATGTAATGGAGGCGGGGGTAGGGAATGTTTCCTTTCCTGGCTTTTGCAGAAAGGGTCTTTCGCTTTTGTTACATTGTGGACCTTTTGGGATTAATGCCTGGATTCAGCGTCTGAAGAAGAGATGAAATCTCTAAAAAATTTCTCAGATCATAGCATTCAGAATTCCTTCCTTGAATAAATAGCAAGGAGTCCTTAATTAAGGTTGTTAGGTTGTTGACTGAGTGAGGATTCCCTGGGGGAGAGTGGGTCTATTGGTTGGCCTGATCTCAGAGCCAGAACTCTGCCCTTCCCCCTTGCCCGGAATGAGAGTTGTTTTTTTGTTTCTTTGTAGACTCCCTTTCCTGAGAAACAAGCAGGCTCGCATGCTGGGGCATGACTGTCTCGAGGTGTGTTTGTATGAGGCTGAGAGTGAGGTTGGTTGGTTTGTGCCTTGGTCATTGTGTGTCAGCACCTGTATAGTTATATGTCTGATTTTCCCCGCCACCACCCTTCAGAGCTGAGGACCAAAACCAGGGACTTGGGTGTGCTATGTCTGATTCTTGAGTGGCATCCACTACTATTGGGTAGTTTTGTTGGAATGTGTTCTCTGTGAATCTCTTTGCCTTCGAGGTTCGTGTTTTTGAGAGGGTAAAGGAAATGAAACAGTCAGTGTTGGTGTCGTGTCTTCTAAAGGTAGTTAGTTTTGATGAATTTTTGGAAAGTCTCCAAGGTGGATAGATCATACCTTTGTCTCGTCACAAAAACTATAAGCCCTTGGGGTGGACTAGATAATAGATGATCACACTTCTCTCCATTGTACAGATAAGGAAATGAGTCTTGAGAGAGGAAATGACTTTTCCAGTTTACAAGGGGGTAGAAGCTGGGGATGGAACCGAGGTGCTCTGTCCCGGACTCCTGGAGCTCTAGCCTCTCAGGCCTGAGGCAGGCGCAAGAACTATCTGAGCTCCTGCTGTCTTGTTAAAAAGACACTGGATCTTCCTTTTCTCACTTTACTGTTGCATTCTACTCATCCAGTTCTGCTTTCCTCACCTTCCTTTCTTTACCCAACCAGCACCTATTTAATTTTCTGTTCATGTCTTAGAAATGTTAGCCACGCCTATATCCCTGTTTTGTGTAGTTTCTTCTGGATCAGTGACAGCAGCTGTTAGGCCTATAACTTCCTGAAGCTGCTTCCTTCTAACTCTTTCCCTCCTTCCTCTTCTTTTCCCCTAATTTCCTGCATTGGTTCTATGGCATACTGCTTGTGAATGGATTGTGACAATGGCATTTGGAGTGAGCAGCCACCATTCAAAAGAAAGCTTGGGGTGCTGTTGCATATACTTGGCAGGACAGTGGCTGCTAGGGGCAGGGTTGGGGGTGGACCCAGTAACTTTTAAATCAAGGCAGTCCTAGGGGAGGGGAGGATGGAAATGGTAGCCTGGACACCTCACCTGGCTTTGCCTTTTTCTTTTCCCTCCTCTGTCTTGTGACCTTAAGCTAGTGGCTCAGTCTCTTCAGCTATAAAACAGGAGTAATAATACTGGCCCTGCATTTGCCATGAGGATCAATGGAGATAATAGCTACATCACATAGACATGAAGGGTTTGCTGCTGCACGGCTATTACCCCTTTGGATTTTGTGAGGGTGAAAGAATGCCGTCCTTACTAGAGAAGGTCAAGGGAAGCAGGGAAATTCCCAATGGCAGGGTTTTATTTTACTATTATTAATTTTTAAAGTGGGGGCTGTCTGGTCTGAAGCATAAACAGATTGCCGCTGTGTCCTGTTTTCTTTAGCCATCATGGGCTCTGCTATCAGAGAAAGGAAGGGGCAAGGTAGCTAAGTTTGAGCTGGGTGAGTGGAAGATAACTCCAGCTTGAAGTACTTAGCGGGCGGGGATACACAGACATGCTGGGAGAGCTGAGCTTGGGGAGTGTGAGATTGGTGACCCAGAATGCTGCATTCCATTCTCTCGAGGAGAACCCGAACTTGGGGAAAAGTTCAGCTACCAGCGGTGGCCACTGGATGAAAGTAAGCCAGGGTTGGAGTGCTGACTTTTTTCCTGCTCCCTCTTACCTAGGTGTGGAGTTCCCATCCTTCTAAGAGGGGTAGTCTACCAAGGCTTTTGGTTAGAACCCCAATGTTTCCTGCTGGTGTTTCTGAAGAAGTCCCTTTTGGATATTTCCTAAGTGCTGTTCAGGGGGCAGACTTCCCTAAAACTGCTTCCTCCTGGGGAAATAATTTTCTTGAAACTAGAAACTAGTGAGCACTACAGCTAGCAGAAGAAAAGGATCCGGGCAGGGTGCCAGCAGGCTAGGCTGGGCTCTGGAATGTCCTTACCTGTGATGTTTCTCTTCTGCTTCTTCTCAACTGGGTCTTGTCCAGGGCCTCCAGCCTAGCTCTGCTTTGGGCAGAGCTGCTGTGATTCAAAAATTGCACTCAAAGTGTATTGGTTGACAGGATTTGAGATTTCAAAATACATGGAAGGGGTGGAGTGGTTCTGCTCTTACTAAAGCTATCTCTGGCAGTTTCTTATGTCTATCTTTCTAGTGTTTTGTTATACACACATGTCTATATATTTGTTTTCTCACCCTTTTCTTAGACTAAAGAGATTTAAGTATGCATTAGATTACATCTTGTTTATTTACTTAATATAGCCTGGGAATCTCTCCCTCTTTTGTTATTATTTTGAGGCAGGTTTCACTGGGTAGCCTTTGCTGGCCTTACATTTACTACGTAGATCAGGCTAGTAGTTTTGAACTCACAGAACTCCTGCTGTTTTTTCCCGTGCTGGCATTATAGGGGCTATATGGTCTGGGCTGTTTGGATGTGCCCAACCTCCACACACAGCTGGAATTTAAGTGGGAGGGTGCTGACACACTCCCCTCCCAACCCTCACAGATGGGTTGAAATGCTATACACAGTTTATATGTGTATTGAGAGTTAATGGGGTTTGGTTTTCACATCTGTTGGCTTCGAGACAAGGAAATCTCAGAGTTCATACCTATTTTCGACTCACAGGCTCTGCTAGGTGTCCAGATCAAATGGTAAAGTGAGAAGGAAGTGTCTCGGAATTGGGAGGAGGCTGTGTGGGAAGCAGTATGACCTGGTGCATATTGTGATTTTCCAGACGTTGAAACCCTGGAGTTTGTCTGCCTGGGACTCCCTGATAAGCACAGTTTCTGTCCAAAGTCCAACTTGTGTCATTTGTTTTACTGCGTGGGGTTGGGATTAGAGGAAGCAGCTGGCTGGCAGGAAGTCTGATGCCAGGTCCCTGGGGTGAATTCTGCCCTGACAGGAGTGACTATCCTTTGCAGTGGGGGGAGGTGTCCGAACAGGTAAAACTGGATAGTGTACAGGAGGGCAGGAGGGAGCCACGGAGTGAGCCCCCTTCCTCCACTGCCATTATCCACTCCTACCATCTTCAGAGGTTTGAGCCTGCTCTGTTGTAGGACGCACACAGCATTCCTATTGCCCAGGCATTCTGTATCCGATTGCTTCAACCCCCAGAAAGCTTTTGTTCATTATGTCCAGAGCATCTTCTGAGGTTCCTATGCCCAAATGGGAAGTACTGTGTTCATAGAGAAATCCAGAGACTGGTTGGCTGGCCTCCCTCCTTTTCCTTCCTTCCTTTTAAAAAATCAAACTAGTGGCATAAAAGCATCTTGAGGAATATTCTAACAGTTAACCGGATGTGTATAAAGAGAAAACAAAGGGCTTCCGATTAAAACAGTAGAAGGAAGTAGCTGCTCTGCTGTGGGCTGGACCCTCTTGTTAAAAACAGGTTGGGGGGCTCTGTTCAGTGTCTGCAGTCTCCAGTGTCCTTGTCACCTTCATAATGGCAACAGCTTCAGGGGGGCTCAGGGAGCATTCGCAGCTAGAGACTGGGAGGATTGAACCAGCTAGTTATCTTTGTTTCTGAGAGCTGTAAGCGTGATCCCCAACTGGAATATACCAGACAACCATCAACAAAACACAGAATGTTTTGGGAGCAAAAGTGGGGCGGTGACTTTTGTTATGGGTGTGGTAGCATGTGTCAGTATTGCCAGCACACTGACGCTGAAGTAGGACTCCTCAAGTCATTCTTTGACAGTGCCATTGTGTACAATACATTCTTTTTTGTTTTTGTTTTTCCAGACAGGGTTTCTCTGTGGTTTGGAGGCTGTCCTGGAACTACCTCTTATAGACCTGGATGGTTTTGAACTCACTGAGATCCGCCTGCCTCTGCCTTTCAAGTGCTGGGGTTAAAGGCTTTATTCTTATTTATTGTTATCATTATTATTATTATTATTATTATGTTGGTGTTTTGAGATAGGATTTCTCTGTGTAATGGTCCTGGCTGTCCTGGAACTCACTTTGTGGATCAGGCTGGCTTGGAACTCAGAGATCTGTCTGCCTCTGCCACCGACTGGCTCCTTTTATGTAATTTTTTTGGACTGAATTTTTTAAATCTCATTGTGTGTGTGTGTGTTTGTGTATTTATGGGGAAGTCGGAAGAATGTGTGTGAATGGGGTTTCCTACCATGGGAATGAACTCATGCTTGGTGGCAGCATCTTTACCTGCTGAACCATCTCATTGGCCCTCTGCTT